CATTCGTCTCAGGTATCTCCAACGATGGTCTCCAAGAAGTGATATGTCCATGTAATATATTCTCAAAGGAGGTGGTTTTTGGGTGGCAGAGCTTTGCGCTCACTTGGTCATTTGACGCCCCCTTTCCACCTGCCTTGCTCGCTTATGCGCTGCTAAGCTCGTGTTGTGTTCTCGCCTGGGTTGAGCCTTGCGCAGTGCTACTGCTAAGTCTCTTAATACAAACATCATATCCGGCGTGCGTAACCGGACACGCGACACACTTGTCGTCGGTTTGTGATGCCGGTTGGCCATGCAAAAAGAAAGCGTCCACTTGTTAACGCTGCAGACACTCGGCCGTTTGCCGCGAGCACCTTTCTCAGTTAGACGGAGACAGGCGACTGGGCGTCTTTTGTACGAGAGCGAGGGGCGTCCAGCGATGGTTGTGCAATTTCGTAGATCTGTTGCGCGTTGTCTCCCGTGTGTCGCTCAAGGTCCACGCCGTATTGGCAACAACCCTTGTTTAGGCTCTGCGTTGGACCTTGAAGTGTGGGTGTCCGCGATCGAAAGAAATCGAAGTATCTCGATTCATGGTTGTTGGGGCCTGATTTCGATCGACAAGTCGTTGCAATAGGTGCCGGAGCTCGGAGCGAAGTGGGCAAATTGCCGATCTTAGTACTGCGACGAGGCATCAACACTGTACTATCTGAGTACACGTCCTATGAGGGCGTTCGTTGTCCCACGCTAAACAAATTAGGCACCCGAAGGTTTATGGTAAAAAACAACGCCCACCAAGCTTCTTCGAGTATTGGCTATTTGCGATACTCGATCGATTCATTATGAGGCGTTCCATTCACTCCGACGAGAGTTCGACGACCCGTACACGACGCGTACCCATCGAGCACGCATTTCTCAATGCTAGTAGTACAACCACGACAAGTCATACTAGTATGTACCTCTTGCGACCGCGGTCGCAAGGAGGAATTGAACCCACGAGAGTGCTCCTGAGCCCTAGATCGCAACTGTGTATAGCAAAAGTATGGATATCCTTCAAGGGCTCGATGCGCCACGCCCACACGCGCGGTTGTTGTTGGCACCGTGGGACAGCTCGGCTTTTGCTACGGTCGTGACCAAACGGCGTTCACCTCCGAAATTCGGCAGTTGCCAATAGATACGATGGCGCTGCTGGTCCCCTTTTCGTGTACCGAACTCGCATTTCTCGCTGACGTTCTCTTGGACGCCGCCGCGCTGCCATCGCCATCACCGCCCACCACCGAGAAGTTTGCGTGTCTAGAGCCAACGTGTCAGGCTCGAGTGCTCTGGCAACGCGGGTATTGTGCGCTCCACGGCAACCGGCGCCGGTGCAACATGGCCGGCTGCGACCGCGGCCCCCAAATGGGTGGGCTCTGCATACGCCACGGCGGGGGTCGGCGGTGCCGCCACGGTGACTGCAACAAGGCAGCACAAACGATGGGCCTCTGTAAAGCGCATGGCGGCGGCACCCGCTGCGCAGCTGTCGACTGCACCAAGAGCTCCCAGAGCGGCGGCTACTGTCGGCGGCACGGTGGCGGCAAGCGGTGCGTCGTACAAGGATGCGCACGCGGAGTCCAGAAACGTCAACACTGCTTTCTCCACCGCCACTGCATTGCTGCGAGCGCGAGTCCCAATTGTTTTAAGGAGAAAAATATGACGGGCGCGCTGTCGTGAGTGGCATGCGGTGTCGACGGGTTGCGTGTTTTTATCCCAGTTCTACTCATGGCGCCAAAAGCAAGGCGGCCGCGGTAATGACGATGTGATGAAAGCGATATCCGCATCACAGTCTAGCAGTAATATCCTAGCAAAAAAATGAGAGACAATAGAGTCCGTCCGTCGCTTTGAAATGGTCCTGTCCTCGCCCACGGCGGTTTTGCCGCACCTCGCGTTAGATGGAGACTTGCCGGATAAAGCAGTTGCCCGAGCACGAACGCCAAGCGCAAGCTCCGATCGCGACCTTGTACTCCTCTCTCGGCAGTCCGAGTCCGAACGACCTCGTGTGAACGTCACTCCCTCGGCGAGCCGGGTCCGCGACGAAGTGGATCTCCGAGCTCACTCCCAACGACCAAGTACTGGTGCCAACTCCCACGCATTCGTGTCAACTTGGACGCGAATATATTGACAAGGGAGAAATATTATTAAAAGTGCACAGTAATTTATATCCCTTGATATTGACAAGCGAAACCGACCCCTAGACCCAACCACGATCAAGTGACGAGAGAAAAGTCCCGTTGAATACAAGATGCTAAGTATACATACCGGTATATTGTCACTCACAATCAAGATACATGTAATGTATGGAACAAAAAGTCACCGCGTTTGGGATTGCTTTGAACGACGAAGGCGCAAGAGCAAGCGCGCGGTAACCATCCCTCTCCAAGCCCAACAACATCTGTCTACTTCGCGTGGGGAGTCAAGGATTCCTGGGTCTGTCTTCGTTTTGTTTTTCGTGTCCCCACCGTTTTAAACCTGCAAACCTGGAAATTTTGTGACGAGAGCGATCCTTCTCTCTAATTGGGTCGAGCGTTGTCGAAAATCTTCTTTTCTTCTTCGCTTTTATTAGGCACGTTTGTTAGTCCCCCACAATTTATGCGGTACTCGTCGAGCGTTGCAGTGTGCGCCCAAGGTATCGAACACTGTGGTGGCATTTTGCATGCCCCTCCGACGCAGGAGTTTTTCTCCATCTCAAAAATTTGACTGGTTGCATTTTGAGCGCAAATCGAAACCAAGAGCATGTTCAAAAGCCGCGACGGGATTGGTGTGGCGCGAAACAACACATTTTTCATCTATTTTCACATTTGATTTTATGGACTATCTAGTACAATGGTCCTTTGTCCTTGCTAAAACGTGTACAACGGTCCTCTAAAAAGGGCGGGAAAATCGATTTGCGTGGGACACATACTGGGGCCTAGTCGAATTTTACCTCCCACATCCGATACCTCCCGAATTCAATGTTGGCTTCTTTGTCAAAAGGGACATTGAGATGATGCCATCTACCCGAGGTGGTAGAGAAAACGAGCTCTATGGACGCCACCAGTGTGTATCAACACCAGCGTGTATCGTTGTTCGGGTGTAATTTAGGACACCCGTCACGTCTTTCGAAAATTTGCAAATTGTACGTCAGTGCGTTTCGAACTCGACACCATTTGTGGGGAAAACAATACACTGGTGGGCGGTACGTTTAACACGATATAACACTCGCCGTGTCCTTTCTCGTTGGGATGATGAGGGCGACAGCATGGTTGATACGCTGGCCGGCGCGTTGGTTCAGAAGCCGTTTAAGGCATTGCTCTCATACAGTGTGGAGAGCGCCAGATGGACGGCAGCCACTCAAATGTGTTGTAGCCTTTTTGCGTTGTGAATCAGGTGGAATTCTTATACACGCGTGTCTATTGCCGTAAAACGTCGGTGTTATACGTGTTATACGTCTTTTCGCGGGGTTATACCTTTTTAACCGGAATTCCCATGCAAACGCCTTTAGCCCACTCGGACGGAAGAGAGGATTCAACTGGATTGCGACCCGACACGTCGTGGCAGCCTCGACGACGCGAGCATGGACCGACGAGAGACGACCGTGCAAGCGAACAACGAAGGTACCGACGTCCTAGCACAGCGCCTCAACAAGCGCCGGCGGCTCGGACAGCTCGACACCACCAACGGCACGAGCAATGCGACGGACGCGGTCGCGGCCTTGAAGGCGCAGCTGGCCGAGGCTACGACGGCCGCCGCCGACACCGAAGCCCGCATTGTCGTGCTTACCAACAAGTGCGAGTTCCTCTCGTCGAAGAACGCCGAGCTCCGCGCCCGCCTCGGCCCCGGGCACGCAGGTACAGCGACCGCCGAGGCCAGCGCGACCGACGCAAGGGACGACAGCAGTCGTAGCCACATCGCCGCGCTCGAAACCAAGGTGAAGACGCTCGAATCACAGCTACAGGTGGCCATCACGACGAGCAACGAGTACGAGAAGCAACATGCGTCGGTCAAAGCGACATACAGCCGCCTCTTGTCGTCCGTGGCGCAGCAGCAGATCGCCCTCGCCGCCTCTGCGGGCCAGCTCCAGGAAGCGCGCACCGCTGCAAAGGCCAGCGACGACCAGGTTCAGACGCTGACACGTGCCAACAGCGACCTCCAGGCGACGATTACGCGGTTGGCGGCTGACGTCGCGGCCGCCACCAAGGCGAGCGGGCAAGAAAAGACGACCGACGACTTGCGCCAGACAGTCCGTCTGCTCAAAGAGAACGAAACCGGCCTCAGAGCCCGCGTCCAGCTACTGGAAGCCGATCTGGCGACCGCCAAGGAGCAGCTCATCACCGTCACCGCCTCGAGTGGGCTCTGGCAAAAGCGAGCCGAGACGCAAACCAAGCGCGCCCAAGAGCTCTCGAACGACAAGCAGTGCCTGGCGTCGGCGATGGAGCAGCTCAAGGCCGATCTCGCGACCGCCAAGGCCGAGCTCGTCGGGTCACTCGCCTCGGCGGCCTCGTTTGCCCAGTGGCAGCAGCAGGCAGAGAATGCAATGGCCCAAGTCGAAGACCTCATGGCCGAGAAGACTCGGTTGGCGCAAACCGTCAAGCAACTCGTCGCGGCGGGCAAGGGCAGCAAGCAGGTCGACACGCTCACGACCGACAAGAGCCGGCTCGTGGTCGACCTCGCAGACGCCAAGACGCAACTGAACTATGCGCTGGCGGCCGCAAAGAATGCTGCCCAGTACCAGCAACAAGCCAAGGACTGCGCGCAGCAAGTAGAAGATTTGTCGGCAGAGAAAGGACGCCTTGCGGCCGCAGTCAAGCAGCTCGTGACCAGCAGCAACGACATCAAGAAGCAGTTGAGTGCGTCGGAAGCCGCAAGTGCCAAGTGGCGCCAACAAGCCATGACGAGCAGCGCCAAAGTTGACGAGCTCAGCGGTAAAGTCGACAAGCTCAGCGCCGAGCGAGATCAACTCGCAACGGAGAAGGACCGCCTTGCCGCTGACAAGGGCCGTCTGACGATCGAGAACGAGCAGCTGTCAACCGACAAGCAGCAGCTAGCAACCGACAAGCAGCAGCTGATAGCCGAGATGGACCAGCTCACGGCCGACAGGGAGCGTTTGGCGGCAATGATCAAGTGGCTGGAAGCCGACCTTACGTCGTCCAAAGCGCAGGTCGAGGAATTGACAGTCGCGAGTGCCAACTGGCAGCAAAAGGCCGACGACAACAGCAAGGAGGTAGAAACGCTCATCGCCGGCAAGGCGCGCCTCGAATCCGTCTTGAAGTGGCTCGAAGCGGATCTGGCGGCGGCCAAGTCGGCGCCCGGCGATGCTCGCGCCAACAAACATGAAGCATCGCCACCGACGACCACAGTTGGAACGCTCGAGGGCGAGGGCGATGCGGCCCAGAGCGGCGACGCGCACTGGCGTCAGCAGCTCGTGGTTTGTGAGAAGCGCGCCGAGGAGCTCATGGCCGAGAAGAACCAAGTGATGGATGTGGTCAAGCAGCTCAAGGCCGACTTGGTGTTTACAAAGGCGCAGCTGGAGGTGGCCACAACGGCGGTCGAAGCAAGCAAGAAGCAAGTGCGAGACCTTGGCGCGAGCAAAGGCCGGCTCACGACGACGATCCAGCAGCTCAGCGCGGACCTCGCCAAGGCGCGCGCCGAGTCCCACATCGTGGCCCGTGCCGAGTCGCACGAGAAGACGCAATCGCACGCGACGCTCCAAGCCCAGATCGATGCGCTATTGGACGAGACGCGCCGCCAAGCCGCCGTCATAGCGCAGCTCGAAGCCGACTTGGCCGCGGCCCGACGCGCCCCTGCGCCGACCGCGGACGTGGCCACGCTGCAAAAGCAAGTCCAGCGCTTCAAGGACAACAAGGCCCGCTTGCTTGAAACCATCACGCAGCTCGAAGCCGACCGGGCGACGATCAAGGGTCAGCTCGAGACCGCGCTCGCTGCTGCTGGCTCGAGCTGCAACGAAGCGCACGCGGTCACGGTCGAGGCGGACCGGCTCCGCACGGAGCTCGCTGCATTGCGCGACCAAATGCAATTGGAGGCCGAGGTCGAGGCGGCCGCCGCGGCTGCCCGCAAGAAAGAGCTGGCGTCGCTCACGGCCGAGGTCAAGCAGATGCGCGCCGACCTCGCTGCGGCGAGATTGCGCGAGTATGCGGCCGTCAAGGCGACCATTCTGCAAACCGCCGCAAGCGACGAAAATCTGCAAGCCGCCACGCGCCGTCTCGAAGCCACGATTGAAGAGCTCACGGCCGAGCTCACGGCGGCCCGCGAGGAGCTCGCGACGGCGACACCTGCGAGCAATGTTGATACGACCGCCGCCGACCTCGAGGCGCAACGCAACGACGCCCAAGAAGACGTGGCGTCGTTGCGAGCGCAGCTCGCGATCGCGAAGCGCTCAACCCTCGAGACCATCCGGGACTTTTTCCGAAGCGTCGACAGTACGTTCAAGTTTGCGGGCCACGGCGCCGTCGACGCGCTGCTCGATGCCCTCTACCATGCCGACACGTCAGGCGCGTTTGAAGCCACCGACGGCATCTATATCTATGCCCAGCGGCTGCTGCAACCGAGTGGCGAGTCGGCGGCGGCGATGTACGACGCGCAATTGCGCGAAATTGCAGCGACAGCGCCGTGGCTGGCGATGCTGCCACTCCGCACGCCGTACCTCGTGCCACCACACGAGCACGCGCGCGGCGTCGTCAGCGACCGCCTACGCCGCCACATTGCGCTCGTCCAGCAGTTCTGGCAGGACAAGAGCCGGGACGTCTGGATGAGCTCGTTCGTGCTCAGTCTCTCGCCGGCGGTCACTATGGATCTTGAGGACGCGGTGGCGGAGATCGTCGTCGACCTCGTCGACCTCGTGACACACAACATGGTCGACCGCCGTATCCGGCACTTTTTGCGCTACCCGCACCCGAGCTGGCCGCTCGTGACCCGGGGTATCGACGCGCTCCCGGTAGCAGACGCGCCGGCGTTTTTGGCCGACGAGGCCGCGAAGCTCTGGCCGTCGTGCCCCGGCGGTGCGGTCCATACGCCGTTGGATATGACGCTGCGATACCTGGCGCGCCACCCGAGCTCGGATCCGACGCTGTCGGTCGGGTGTGCGAGCGCGGTCCGCTCGGACGTCGAAGCCTTTTGTGCGACAGTGAGCACATGCCCGCTCGTAGCCATGCCCATGACGCTCTTGGCGCCGTGCGCGACGTCGCCGTCCCCGGGACTTGAACTGGTGGGACACGAGCGCCCGCTGCCCACAACGCATCAGTGGAGCGCGGCCTTGGAGAAGGCCATTCCGCTCTTTGAGACATGATTGTCGCTTAATCAATAGGAACCGTTAGTAGTCTACAGTCGTTATGAGTTGTGGGGGTCGTCGGAATCTAGAAAACGCGATCATTGGATTGATGCTTGGGTAGCTGTGTACCACATGTCTCGATAGCACAGAGGACCATCAATATGCCGACAGAGTCGACACCTCTCCGAAATGGACAAGTTGTCTTCTTGGGTATAAGCGAGACGAGCTCAGACACTAATGAAGTTGGCATCGCCGACGAAGACAACAATGTACGTCATGGTAGTCGACGCCACGTATCGTGGCAATCGAACGGCGTGGCCTGAATTTCGGCAAGAATGCCCGAGTTGCTTAGGAGATAACGACAACGGCAATCCTAGTAGTATATAATGGCATCTCTAATATACCCTTGCCCAAACCCTACCCGAACCATGCCACCGAAATTACCTTTTCGTTTTTTATACCATTTCGTATATAGACCGGTATATATGAAGGTGTTTCGCACTATCTTCATAAATACACAAAGTCTTCGCATACGTACAGACTAGCAATCTCCTACCTCCCACTGCCAAGCCCATGGACGATTGCCGTCAACGCGGCGCGTGTCGCTCAAATGCACTTGCACCACAGCCTCGTTCAAAACCCAGGGCAGATGGCTCTACGTCGCCTTCTCCGGCTCCTCGCTCAACACGAGTGGCCGCGCCAGCACCTTGTCCCGCGGATCGCGCTCTTGCCTCCGCCGGCCGAGATCAAGATCATCACCAGCGCCTACACAACGAAGAAAGTCCGACAATTTTATTTAGCGTAGATTTACGTATCTATTTTAATAGACGACCCACTTCAGCAACAACTAGTAATCTCCTTCTTCTTCATTCACTCGCCGGTTCGTGGCTGCGCAGGCGGCGGCGCAGGGGCTCGTCTGGCTCTTCTGTCGTTACCCTACGACGCCTGTGGCCGCGGGTGAGGCCCGTGACGACACGGTCGGTCAAATCTTTCCAGGCGTCGCGGTCGGCGGCAAAGCTACGCAGTGTGTCAAGGTTGTCGGGAGTCGCCAGCGACTGAGGCGGCGTCAGCGACTGGAGGTCGCGGTGCCATTTCGTGGAGTGCAAAATGATATTTCCGTGTTCGCGGTATGACCCAACTAGATCCAGCAGCCCAGCGATAGTAGTATGGAGACACAATGACATGTTGCCTCGGTAGTAGTATTTCTTTAAATACGGTCTGCTGGGTCTCGACTCGTCACGTCCTGCTCTGCCACACGCAACACATGCGTCCGACAACAACCATGCGGTATCGTCCGTTGGTCGATTTACATTCAAAAGCGCCGGCCGCCATCAGTACCGTCGTCCGTGTTTGCATCGTCGGCCGTCGAGAGACTCGCAAATTGATCGCTGGCGGCGCGTACGAACGCCGGTACATCGTGGTCGCCTTGGTCGCGTAGCCAGCGGTGCAAGCGGTGGCAGTCGACGTCTGTCAAGGCGTCGGGCGTGATGCGGGCTACAAGGGACTCTTTCACGGCCGGCGACACGGTTTCGCCCATGAGCCCGAGCCCGGCAGCGACATGGACGAGCTCTCGGGGGCGGTACCGACTGAAATGCGTCGCGAGATGGGCGTGGACGTGCAAACACACGTCACTCGGCAGTGCGCGGTCGGCAGCAGCAAAGATTGCGACAAAGGCGGCGACGGCCGACGGCCCAAAGCGATCAAACTCGCGCTTGGCGAGCTCGTCGCCCATTTTGTCCAAGACGTCAGGGGACGTGGCGCCGCCGAGGTAGAGACTCCACGCGACATTGGCGAGCCCTTGGTCATCAAAGCGCTTGACACCGACTGCCTCTACATACGCGACAAGCGCGTCAAAGAAGCGGGCGTTCGTGGTCTTGGCGCCCGCTTTTGCAAAGCTGAAGGCGAGACCCGAGAGCTCTAGCGGCTGGAAGGTCGCGAGGCCGCGCCGAGTGACCACATGGTCCTCAAGAAGATGGTACAACGGCGTCGTTGCAAAGGGAAGCTGCGCATTCGAGAGGCTCCAGGCGAGACTCACAAACTCGTGGTTGCGGCACTTGTCGAGGCCACGGCGGTACAGTTCGTCGCGAAGAAGAGAGGTGCACGCTGCGTTGTACTGCTTGGCGCGTGTGAACGCCCAGTGCAGCATGACGAGAGACCCGAGCGAAAACGTACCGACCGACGACCGCTCGTTGTCGAGAATGTGGTCGCTGACCAAGGCAAAGAGGTCGGGGTGCGGCGTGACCTTATGCCGCGCGTGCTTGGCGTACGAAATGCAGAGCGACGCGAGCGTATTGGCGTCAAAGTCCTGAAGGCCGCGCGCTGCCAAGTGCCTCTCGACACGGCGAAAGAGCTCCGAGTCGAAGCGCTCGGCGGCCACAAAGCTCCAGACAATGTTGGCCAGGTGCTGCGGCTCGAACGTGCCCAAGTCGCGCTCCTGCAGCGCCTCGTCGATCGTGGCGTAGACGGAGCAGAGACGGTCGCTCATGCGCGCTTTTGCAAAGCCCATGGCGATGTTGGCAAGTGCCAGCGACGAGTACGAGTCGAGCGACTGCGACCGCACGTGCCGCGCGATCGCGTGGTAGAAGGCGCGGTCGCGCACGCCGAGCTTCTCGGCGCTCCAGACGAGATTCGCAACCGTGATGGCAGGGGCGGTCTCAAGCCCCTTCTTGACGCGGTCGACGACGGCGTCCATGAAGCCTCCGTCGTCGCCACCCCGCTGCATCTTGGCAACGCCGTGCGCAATCATGCTGAGCGTCCGCAGATCAAACTTGGCGATGTCCTGCACCGTGTTGCGCAAGGCCGTGGCAAGAAGCGAGGTCTCGCGCACCGAGTACATCGTGTGGCGCCGGTGCGCCTTCCCAAGCTTGTTGAAGAGCGTCGCCGTGTTGACGCTGTTAAAGTTGGTCCTTTCGCGCTCGTAGATGGCGAGTAGCTCATGCGTGGTTGACGCCGCCATGAGCTGCGCGTTGATTTGCGAGTTGTCGCGCCGCTCTGTGGTGGACCATGACGAAAGGCAGCGCGTACCAAGACGACCCGCAAGCGGCGCTGGCGGCAAGGCGGCGCAGGGTCTTCCCGACGTACCCGCGCTGCGCAGCGCAGACGAGGCGACCGGCACCAAGCGCGCGATCATCCGACGCGCCAGCATGCTCACCACCCAGCGCTTGGTATTTTGGAATGCACCAATGGCCTTGCAGAATGCATTCAACCAATCCCAGAGCGACGTGGCGAATCCAGCACAATGATTGGTCAAATCTCAAAGATCGGTCTTTCCATGTTTGCGATTCATGCTTTTGACATGTTCGCCTTTGAGATGCCTTTTGAATGTTGGGAGATGTTTTTGAGATGTTTTTGAGATACACACTCGACACACCGCGAATACCACCTCGAGGACCAGAGAGAAATACTCGGAGGCTACTGGCAGGCTACTGGTCCTAGTATTGTTGTATCCATCTTACCCTTATAACAGCGGCTTCAAACATCCAACCCTTATAACAAACAGCTTGAAACAATATTGTCCAATCTTACACCTGGCTATTGAAGCCAGTAGTAATCGACGGACACTGCGGGAAGAGCACAGTGTCTTGGAGATTGCAAAGGACTTGGCCCGTAAAGTCCATGTTGGCGCCCGAGAGAGCGTTGGGGCTGTAGGCATAGTAGCCGGCTTGAACTGTAAGCGGCGCGCTCGCGCCCAGCGGGCAGTAGGCGCTACTGCTGCCACACGCGTTTTGCGTCGGGGACGGTGACCCACTCGAGCACCAAAACCCAGGTCGGCACGGTACGCATTGTTTGCCGTTGATTGCATACGTGCCTACTTTTAGCCATGACGCGTTGGCTCCAGAACGAAATACGAACCTGCGGGGCAGAGTGCTTGTTGTGCCGACGTCGCGCCGGCGGGACAGGTCGAGCCGGGGGCGCACGCCCCCGAGCACGCCATTGTCGAGAGCCCCGTCGTAGCTCCATAACTATAAACTCACTTCAAAATATGGATCACTTTTGGGGGCTCTACCTGCCCCAAGGGCAAAGATGTCGCACGCCACGGACGCAGTAGGTGCCAAGCGGGCAGACTGTTTGGCCGACGCGAAGACGGCCGTCAAACCCGAGCGTGGTAAGGAACCCTTGGGTCACTGGCGTCGGTGTGGCGTTGCTTCCGGGACAGTAGACCGACGGATCGACGCACGCCGTGTCGAGGTACGTCGCCGAGCCCAGAGGACTAGACCACAATTCGAGTGCTCTGCGAACTCAGACAGGTTGTCGGTACCAAAAGTAACCTGCCGGGCAGTTTCCCGTGCACGCAGCAGACGACAAGCCGTGCGCCATTCCATAGGTTCCTATTTGCATGGCCTCGGTCGCTGGCAGCGGCAAGGCTTCGATGGACCTGCAGGACAAGGTTTCTTGCAGCCATTCTCGCAGAACGTCCCAACTTCACACGGCACTTCGGCCACGCGCGTGACGAGCCCTGTTGTCATGCCCGTACCGCCTACGCAAGCGCTGACAACGAACTTGTCGCGTCGCTGCCAACCTGGTAGGTACAATCCCGCATCACTAGGGTTGAGCGTCCGAGTAGCGATCGTGTAGTAGCCAGTCGTGACAAGCGTTGGCACCGACGAGCCGACGGGGCAAAAGACGGTGGGGCCACCACACGGAATAGGGGTCGGTGCGCCTAGTTTCATATCGATATAGCGAGCCGTGGGAGGTCGTACCAAGCGGGCAGTAATAGCCCGCAGGACAGCGTGGCAGTGGGCAGTACGATAGCGTGCACACCGGGGCACATGCCTTTGTTGTCAAGCCCGTGGTGTTTCCAAGTAGCCCCGCGGGGCACGGCTCGGGCACCACGGTTCCCAGTACACTAAACGACTGAAATTTCATGGATGCCACAAAGACTAGAAAAATCCGCACCAAAAATGGCCGACGGGGCAAGGGCCCGAGCATTGCGGCGTCGACAAGCCTACGGTGGCCCCCAAGACGCCGGGCGGACACGATATGGGCTGCGCAGTGCCGATGGGGCAGTAGGAACCTAGCATGTATCGCATATGGAAGCTTTGAGTTTGCACGCATACCAGGCGGGCAGGCGCCAGAGCACGCGGATGTCAAGAGCAGGGAGCTACTTCCATACGTCCCTGCAGGACACGCGTAGCGCACGCCGTGGACGCAGTAGAAGCCCGGGTCACATGGGCGCTGAGTCGGCGCCGTCGCGAGATCGAATTCGTTGACGGAGTTGTCGACGCCCGTGCCAGGACGTGTGCTCGTTATTGTGTAGTATCCAGGTGCAACAATACGCCGGGAGGGCGTGCCGCTGGGACAGTAGTAGTTGGCGCCACCGCAGGTCTGTGCGGTCGCACTTGTCGACCCAAGCTACACGACCAAGTTCAGTTGTGTATGCGCCGACGGTGACGTTGGTGTACAGGGCAGTAGTAGCCCGCCACGCAACTGCCCGAGCACAGAGGCG